TTAAAATTATTTTCTGTATCCAGCTAAATTTTTAATTACTTTAACAAAATCGTTTTTTTTTCATGAACATACAGATCTTTCTGCAAAAAATTAAAGATATTGTAGCATCGTGAAAATTTGAATAAAGCAACATCTATATACTTTTGCACACGTAATTCTTCGATTAAAATGAAATATATCATGTCCTTAACGCGCATCGCGATGGAAAAAAATACAAATTACATTCGCCGTCGTGACTTATTATCAAGGTACGCATTGCATAGCTGCACACGCATGCCTGAAGCGATGCAATGGTCAATATGAATAGTTAACGAGGACAACTGACGAAGCGGCAGCTACGATGAGAATCAATCGGCTGAGTTTTAAAGGCGTTTAGGAGTCACGGGAACAAACGTATTCCATTGTGTGCGTCGGCGGTTCCAACAATAGCGGCTTCTGAATCTCTATGGAAAAATTCTGGAGAGCGAAGGCGATTTTTCTCGACCTGTATGCCACAAACGGTTCGTTGACAGCGTATGTGGGCGGATGTTAATTAAGATAACGATGTTTAAAGACGTACTAAAGATGCGGTGAACTCTTCGTCGATTCTTCCGTATTCGGTTTAATTAGCAAAGAAACAAAGAAAATTAGCACAAAGCACGGCTCTTGTGTGGCATTGATGTTGTAACGAATTTGATTATTGAGATAATTGACTGCATACTTTATTACGAAAACTGCAATATGTACGCGAGAGAAAAGATACACATTTAAACTACTCTCGAGCTGTTGACGGTAAAACGTAATTTAATAAAGTTATGCTTTCTGTTGAAATCATCTTGTTCATTTCAAGGATACAATTATTTTCAAGGAGGCAAAGCAGTGTAAAAAAATTACAAAGTTTATGATGAAGATACGAACAGCTCGTACAATATTCGCGTTGCATAAGATGCATACAGACTGCCTGAGGTTGCGTCATCTCTCGCTCATTTGGTCCATCGATAGATATTGTCATCGTGGAGACGACGAAAAACGTAACGGCGGATGTGGCAAAGTCCGCGGATGCGCAGATTATTATGAACGTCCTTACGCATCCGCGAGTTCGTATGAATGGAATCGAATTCGTAGTAATTCTCACTTCCGATGCATTTACGCGAATGAGTCATCGCTGAAGCTCACGGATCACACTTGGAGTTTTTATACAAACGAACGAGTTACTCATAGCATGCAACATTAATGTCACGATGATTGTGCGAGATAATAAAGTTGAACAGAAGTTTATTATATTTTAGGAAAATGTAACAAATTTTTCCTCAAGGATAAGATAATATTACATGGAAACTTGTACTTATTTAGAGATTTCTCCGAAAAAGACCGTAAGAAAACTTCGCATTTTGCGGTTACAGTAATCGTCTAAAATGATAAAGGCTATACGTTCAACAGAAAAAATAAATTTGGCAATTTGTAAATTTCTTTTTTTATTCTTTAATATGTTTATATATTTAAATCCAGTGAAGAATTGAAAGCAAGAAGCAATCATATTAAAGAATCTTACAACAGTTCATCGTTGGAAAAAGTGTGTCAAATTTAACATAAATCGCATGTCCCAAACTCAAATTTTTGAGTTAATTTAATATAAGATGAATATGTTACAAGGTTACACAAATATTTATGTAAGAGAATAAATATAAAAAAGTGAATACCGATACAATTTGTAAACAAATCGTGGAAACATTTTTTTTCAGTAAAATTAATATTTATGATATGTTAAATTAATCCATATTTTATTCATTCATCTTAGAATTTACGTTTTAAAACACTTTATTTTTACGTTATTTGTTTACTTACCTATAAATTGTGTCATTTTGAAGAAATGTTGAATATCAGTTTAACACAAAATCTGTAAATAACATAATCACATATGTTAAATTAACACTCGAATGTTAATTTAAGTTAAAAAATTTAACACAAACTATTAACAAGAATGTGAATGGACCGTTTCCATCACAAATACACAATTTTTTTTACTGTGCTGCAAAACTGTTTTTTCCGCCAAACGCAGTTAATAGCACTTTGATTGTCACACGGATTTTTGTAATTGATCCCTGGCATTACACTATATAATTTTATACCTAACTTCTATGAAACTTTCATAATTACAAATTGATTTATATGATTAAAAAATTTCGTGTTTTTTTTAAATACTTATAAGTAATAATACGTATATATTCAAATTGATATACAAATGGTGCCTTAATCCTAGGTATATATCTAATTGTCTAATTGAATATACATGGCGACCAAAGTGCTAAGAAAATTTGAAAAATTATAAACGTTATAATTTTTTAAATTTTGCTTAATATTTTTCTATATCTCTTCGCAAGAAAAGTGACACAAGTTAAAATTTTTCAACTTTCATATTATTTGCAGATTGCGTTGTACATACATCGATTCTAAATACTTCAATTAGGAAAAGTGATACACAAGTTGAATTTAAATACTTCCTAAAGAAAAATGACAATTCAAAATAGAGATAGTTTCTTCGGAGGTAACACCATTACAACGTTATTAATATCTACATTACTTCCAGAGAATTTGCAAAAAGCAAATTTGTGATTGTTCTTGAGCGAACTTACATATATGTTTGATACCATCATAATATATATAATTAATTTTAAAGTACGAAACTTTTTCTTTTCTCTCTCCTGAATATTTTTATATTTGACTTGATTCTTCTTGTGAAAGTACGGTATGTATATGTGAATGTTAATTCTAAGAAACATTTATTTATTAATAAATAAATTATTTATAAATAAATCATTGTTAATGATTGATCTAATAATTTTGATTTTTCATTTATATTTTATTATTGTATAAAAAATATATATATATAAATAAAAAATATGTTTATAAATTTATATATTATATATATAAATATATAACATAAATAAAAAAAATATATATATAAACAAAAATATATACATTTAACTTATAAGCACAGATATTTTAAACAAATTTTGTAAAAAATTTCGAAACTATTTCGATTTATGTCACTTTCAAAAAGTTACCTTTAATCTTATTCTATTATTTTATGAAATCTCGTTTCAACGTTGGAAAAGAAAAACGAGAATGAGAACCGCCAATTCGTAAATGAGTTTCGAATATCAACAAGCGTACAGATGTAGAAGCAAAAACTGAAGGATAAGATGGAAAGCTGCTTCTCGCTAAGAAGTTCGAGGAATACGAAAAATCTTGCAAGGGCAAACAAGACTTCGTTATTTTTGCTCGAAGAACTTGTTCGTAGCTGTACTAGCGAGAATGTGGAACGGACTTAAAGTAGAATAAAATTATTAGAATCAATTCTAATAATATATATAACGTAAAATTACTATGATATACGTAATATATAACACGTAAAATTCTAATAGAAAGATACAACCGAAGTTCATATTCTAGTTAGGAAAATACAGAAATTCATATACAATAATTTCGCATTATTATGATGAAAGGTAATGACTTTTATTATACTTCCTGTAATGTGTAAAATTTCAAATAATTTCAAATAATAGAGATGCAAAGTTCTATTTAATAATAGAAGTGCAAAGTTCTTTCTAATTATTAATATTCATATCTCTTCGCATGACTTTCGGAAATTCTTATGCGAAGCATAAAAGCCAACATAGCAGCCATGAAATTCGTCGTTAATTCTCCTTGGTAAGATAAACTGCGATTCGACATCTTCATATACATATACGAGTATTTGTATACTCCAGCAGCTTGAATATGCGTGAACATTGCAAGTTCTTCTTTTTAAACAGTTTTAGCACGTCTCTCCACTTTATCTCTGACCATCTTCGTCAATGTTTTTACGCGTCGTTGACTGACAAATACAAAAGGCTGCTGCTCATTGAAAACCGCGGCTGAAATGATTTACTTCCACGAAATGTTCAATTATATAACGAGTACAATACTGATTTCAATCAAGATTAGAAACTAGATTGGAGTCTGATGAAACCTTACACAACAAGATATTCCGATTCACAGTTATTACAAAATTATAATTGTTACATAATTGAGATAATTTTTAATATTCACGAGATGATGACAACAGGAGTATCTTTCTAATAAACATAATGCTTCGGAGAAATCGCTTACGACGAAAACGTTTCGAATGATACGTCCTAATCGATATCTCTAGAAATTATCTCGCGCTGTAATATTGTATCATTCTACGAAATTTACCCAGAAGAATGACTTGACAAACGTACAACAAAAGAATATAACCAATGCGTATTCCTGCCTCTTTGCTCCCTTCCCATCTCCCTCTTTACCGAAGTGTACGCGAGTCGGAAGATACCGACCACAAAATCTCTGGGGTCTCGATTTCCCTTCAGACTATCCAAAAAAAGGGGCGGAAGAAGGGAGACGACGCCAGACAACTCCACATATGCGTGCCGGCAATATATAGGGTCGTCCCCTAATTCCCCTATTCCTGAACCAAATGCCGCCTGTAAAAAGGATGATGGCAACGCAACGGGTAGATGAACGCGTGGCACGCCCTGTACATTGTCGACATGTACATACTATAGCGAATTGAGAGACGCGCGTCAAGCTCCCCCCCCCTCCGTCGGGTATCCTTCCCCATGCACGAACCGATCTCCCTTCCCCTTGCCTGCCATTCCCTGTGTACGTGTTGCTCTGGCGTTCTGTCGGTCCTTTGGTACCCTCGCTGGGCCCCCTACCGTCCCCTGCGTCCCTTCTCCGGAGCCCCCTTCCCCTAGACGACACAACAAACAACCGCGACTTCTCGTCAGTCGCCGCTCAAGGTATTGCTGTTTGTGCGCACGCACGCACGCCGCACGCCGGCACTCTATGCTGCGGCTGTCTCACGGTAATTTTTGTGGGGAAAAAAAAGAAAAGAGACTCCGCGCGAGAGAGGAAAGGGAAACATTTATTTCCTCCGCGCGAGAGAGGAACAGAAGACGCAGCACCTAGAGTCTCGCCGCCGCACAATTTTGTTTCGCATCGTGCGTGCACGAAGCAGTACCTCGAGTGAAGGAGGGGACAATTTTGTCGGGAAGGGAGATGGAGGAGTGAGAGAAAGAGAGAGAAAGAGAGAGAAGGGGGGATTGGTGCGATTGACAGTTGGTAGTTAGTGTCGCTTCCTCGATACGCGACGGCGGTGTGCGGCCGTGTTGTGTTCTCTGGAGAGTACCGTCGCTCCGCGCTGGCACGAGTTCCCCGCGGTATCGAAGGGAGAAGAGGGGGGGAAGGGGAAATCGCTCACGTGTTCGAGAAGGGAACGCGTCTACGCGTCTACGACGAGGCCCGGCGGCCTTAGCTCTTTACCTTTAACGCGCGCTCGCGAATGGGAGGGATCGTTGGAGAGATCGAGGGTAATCGCTTGAGAAATCAAAACGCTGAAGGAAGAGGAAAGACGCGGGAGCGTCAGGAAGATCCTTGCAGCGCGTGACGCCGCGTTTGTTTACACGTCGCGTCGCGTCGCGGTTGGGTGCTAACAGAACGCGCGGGAATTCAATAGATAATGAACGGAAGAATATTTGCCTGAAGAGATAACTGTAAAAGGAATTCTCTTCGGCTAAACACGAAAAGATTGTGGAGAAGGATCATAATCATAAAAAAATTATCTTAAGAAGAGCGAGAGAGAGAGAGAGGAAGACTAAGAGGGAGGCGGAAACGGCAGGGATGAGAGGAGAGGCTGTCGAGGAAACGGAAGTAGCGAGAAGAGCGAAGACTCATCCTGCGCCTCGTGCTCTCTCTATTCCTCCCCCTCCTGTACCGGCGCAGCGCTTTTATTACCCGCTCGCTAAATGATTCACGCGGACGCGTGAGTCCGGCGATCTCGCAGGAGGAACTGGAACACGTCGAGGACTCGTCGGGAACTCGTCCAGCGTGGTTCGGTGACCGATCTCGCGCGGAGAGTCGAGGGAAGGAAGGATCCCCGGCGGGGATAGAGGGATTACGGAGAGAAAGAGAGACTGTAAAAGAAGGGCACGGAAGGAGGGAGAGAAAGAGAGAGAGAGTGAGAGACAGAGGGAGAAAGAGAGACAAAAAGAGAGAGAGAGAGAGAGAGAGGTGGGGAAGGAGCAATAGAAAAGGAAGGCGAAGCGGCAGGGCACCGGAGAGAAGGCGAGACGAAAGGAGGAGAAAAGAGGAGGGAGGTAGAGAGGCACGCCGCGTGGACAACCGTGCACGCTCGTGTCTCTCTCTCGTTTCGTTTTGCTGCTTTCGTTCGCGCGAGAGCGCGGTGGATGAGCTACGCTCGTTAGTGCCGGTTGATGGTACGTCCTCGTGGTCCTGAACTGTCCTGAACCGCCGTTAAAATTCATAATCCGCCGAGAGAAGAGGTAGCCTCGCGCACTCTTGAGGATCGCACGTGGTGTTGGTAGTATCAGTGGAGGTGGAGGTGGTGGCCGGCGCGCGGCAACTACGGCGGCGGTCGAGGTGATCCTCATCTTTGGGAAGCCTCTTCGTCGAAGAGGACGTCGTCCTCGTGGCTCGATAGCAACACCCCGACGCAATCATGTATAAGCTACTGGGAGGATTGAGCAAGTACCTGAAGCGGCAGGAGATCGTCACGGACTCTGTGCTGTTTCGTTTGCATAACCACTTCACCACGGTACTGCTGTTCACGTGCTCGTTGCTCGTCACGGCCACCCAATACGTCGGTAACCCGATCTCATGCATCGTCCAGGGTCTGCCTACTAATCCCATCAATACTTACTGCTGGATAACATCCACGTTCACCATGCCAGACGCGTTCAATCGACAGGTGTGTGATTTTCGATCGTACCTATTCTGATCTTCGACGAACGTAATCGTTCTCGCTCTCTTCATCGATACTTCGTCCTTAAACCGGCACGCTACTGATCGAAATTTCATGACGTTGACTATAATAAAAATGTCTGAAATTATTTTTAATTACTAGGAGAGAAGTCTTTTATGTCAAGGTGAACAACAGTAAAGAAAAATATTGACAAAGTAATGAAGTATGAGATAACGAAGGAGTATTTTTCATTTAGTGACAAGTCGACACAAACATTAATTTTCTTAACATTCAGTAACAAAGATAAAACTACACTGTATCGATTTGTGTCACCAAATGGAAAGTAGCCTAAGACATTTTTATAAAATCGGCTTGTTCTGAAATTTATATTCTTAAGATAATTTTTTTACATTAAATTCTTAAGATAATTTTTTTTACATTAAATTCTCAATTTGCTTTATACTCTGTTAAACATTCAAACGCGCGCAAGTCAAGATTCTGAAAAAATAAATTTCTATTTGTTGTGTAAAATTTGTCGGGAAAGTCTTCTCTCTCTCTCTCTCTCTCTCTCTCTCTCTCTCTCTCTCGTTATGGATTATACAGAAAACTTGCCGCACGCTATCGGCAGAAATGAAATTCGATAGTAAAAAATGATGGTAAAAATTGACGGCGGAAATCGAATATGGGATGAGATGTACTTCTGTATGAAAACGATCGACTTATACATGATCACAGATCCTCATGATATGGTTCGATCCCAAACTTTATCCAAAATACTTCGATTTTATCGACAACATAAAATATAATATACATTAAAGAAACCGACCAAGATAAAAAACGAGCCAAAGCGGGTAAAAGGTAATATCAATTTATTTATATAAAATGATAAGAATAAAAACATCACAGAACATTCGAACTCTAATTTATGCTCGTTTTTATCAATGTAAATTAAAAATGTCAGTTCAACTTTTCATATTTTTCTAATCGTTAGAACTATAAAAAGATGAATTAGTTGAACTAAGAATTACAATTAAACTAAATTGAGATAGAAATGAACATTAGTCCTTAAATCATATAATATATATATATGTATATATATATATATATATA